ACATACTGGGATTGCCTCACCAAACTGGTATCGTCAAGAAGTCACTATGCTGACAAAACAACCATGGTAAGATTTGAATCCAGGTTTCATGGTCAAAAACTGAACATTCTAACCACTTGCCCATGATATATATATATTTATATATATGGATATATATATATATATATATATATATATATATATGGACATATGTATGTATAAGGGATAGAGACAAAAGAGATGGGCTTACTGGCTGGATGTGTGAAAAGCTGAAAGTCAGGTAGAAATGGTAAGGTGTAATAAATTTATACATTAGAATTATATGTATACATATGTATGTATGTATAAAGGATGGTGAGTTGCTCTGTGACACTTGACCCCAGCACAAACCAAAAAAGCACTTCAAGGACTTTAAAAATGTCTCTTGCAGCCTTCCATATAGATGATCTTGTGTGGGAGGCAGTTGCTTGTGAGCGATATAAGTGCAGTTGTACAATTCATGAAGTCACTACAGTTTTCCAAGAACATACAATGAGTTGAAAAGATAAACTTCTTGATTCAGCAATCCATCAATTTACATATGATGAATGTAGCAAAGTATGTCTCTTCAATGCAGGCCTTGTTAGCCACAAGAGTCATATTGTTAAACCTTTCACAAATTATTATCAGTACAACACTGGAAAGAACTGAACATGCAGTGAGTGTCAGAAAACCTGCAGCAATCACCCAGGCCAAACCTGTTACATAAAATCTCTTGAACAAGCAGAACAAAAATTACAAAACAGGCCAGACTTGGTACAAAATAATTTAATTTGTCACATCTGTAATAAACATTTTCAGTCTTCAAGAATCATTGTCGTTCTCATAAGAATCGAAAGCATTGATCAAACTTGTCAACAATGGTCATACTCGTTTAATGTGTCAACAGCCATAATAAGGGAAGGAGACAAAAGGAGACATTGTTTTAACTAAGAGCTAAAGAGATCAATTAGAAAAGATCCAACTCAATTCATAGGATATTTGGAATGTGAGAGAGGAGTTTCAGCTATGACAGTCTAAAGAGCAGTTAAAAAAGACTTAAAAATTAAAATTGTACATAAAACCTGTGAGGCAACTTGTTACTCCAGGATAGAAAATTAGAAGGTTAGAGAGAGCAAAGATCATCTTGAATAAGTTGAAAAATGATCCTGGAATAATATATATATATATATATATATATATATATATGAACTTTATTTCACTCCTTCATGAGCTTCCGATACTTAGCTATGAATAGTTAATGATGAACATGTCATTTTCGTTTATGATGAATGTCATCATAATATTTTTGTTAAAGCTTAGAGAATAATTATACTTCTTATTGCTCAAAGTAGAGTCCAATAGTGTTATAAAGTATCTCAGAGAATTCCAGTAAGATATCTTTAAGCATTTCTAGTTCAGAGCTTAATCAAACAATTGGACAATTTTGCAGATACACCTGGTATGTATATATATATATATATATATATATATATATATCAAGAAACAATGGGGAGAAATGCTTAATATCAGGTAGAAATGGGAAGATGCAATAACTGTGACACAAATAAAGTTCTTTATAGAAACATGTTTTTTTTAATCATTTCATACCAAGGTGATAATGTCACTAAAATGCAAGTGGTTACTTGAAGTAAAAGAAAATCAGAAGTCATTAGTGAGTGGAAAGCACCATAAAAATGGGATTCAAGAAGACAGAAGATGGCAGTTGACATTGCATTTAAATATTTGAAGATCATAGGTGGTAGAGAAGAAAGAAACCAGAAAATAGAGCTCCACAGGCAAAAAGTGTGAGAGAAGAAACTATCAGAATAGAACTTACAGTTACATCTAGCTATTTCAACAGTAAAACAACAAAACCTAGTTGCCAATCTAGTAGTATGTTTAAATTCATGAGGTCAAGATACAATTGCTATGAAGTTATTTATAGAAAAGACACAGGGAAGCCACTTTGTTCTGTAATATTTTACTTAAATAGAGATAACTTCAAAATATTATTCTTTTTTATAGTTATCTCCCTTGCATTGGCTGCAACATGTGGCAGTGTTGTTGTTATGACACTATAAGACCATTTGAATGGCAGGAGGTGAAAAAAATGACTCCATGAAGCACAATAATAATTACTGGGAAAAATATATTCAAAGACTCATGTGTAAAACCTTCTAATGATTGTAAGGACATAACAAAATATACTGTTATTTTTGATGGTATAGATAAACTAGTTTTGATATAAAGATCTACAGAATAGAAAGTGGTGGATCGGTTTTCTGTTGTTAATAAGTAATAAACTGATCCCCTTAGTTACTATATATGAATAAACTGATACTGTAGAATTACTATATTAGCAAATATATTTAAACTTTAAAGACTTATTAGAAAACCTAAAAAGATTAAAGACTTAAAATATCACTTTTGTATGTCATCATTTTTGATGGTATGGGTAATTTAATTAGTAATAAAAGACAATGAGGTTTAAGACCAGAGTTTTCCTTCTCTTAGATGGACTACCATCCTGGGCTGATGTGTTCTATCTACCCATCATGGAAAAGACTAAACCCTGAGGAAAAGTCTGGAGCCAGAGTCCCTAAGACAGTCTGATGGTATATTCAGTTTTGTTCTGGCAACTCTTGTGGTGACACCAGTGTCAAGCTGTATTGGACTCTACCTTTTGCTTGGACAACATTGGTGGCATGGAGAGAAGAAATGTGCTGCATGGGGAACTGTCGATCTCTCATGAAACCATGCCCAAGTCTGTACCCTGGAAATGACATTCCAGTGTTGCCTCAACACTATGGTAAAACATAGGAAGCAACAGCCTACTGATGGGAGGATTCTGAAAGTCCTCCAGTATGGGGAATTGGCCACTGGCAAGGGTGCACAAGGGCAATCTCATCTTTGCTTCAAAAACGTCTGCAAAGGAACATAATGGCAATGGACATAGACACCAAGAGATGGGAAGACATCACCAATGATCACTAACACCGGAGACATGATATACACTGAGGGCTGGAGCAAGGAGAGAAGAAATGGAGGCTTGCTGCCAGGGAGAAGCATGCTCAATGGAAAGAAAACAACATGGCAACATCAGGGAATAGTGTCTTCACAAACATTGGTTGCAATGTAGACTGTCATACCCATGTGGGTCTGTACAGCCATAACAGATGTTGCACTGCCATCAGCAGCTGAGCTATAACTTTTTGGGTGAAGATCCATGGTCTATTGAGACTGATAGATGCCACATATATAAAAATCAATGAAAAAAAACTAATTAGCACCATTGATTCCATACTGGGTGTAACAGGAAAATTGTCCAAATTGTTTAACAGCATGCGATAATTGTCCACCCCACAAAATGTTTAATATCTAAAAATCCACTAAACTAATTGAGTTTCTTTTTCCTAGGTTTAGCCATCTTGACACCATTTATTATAAGAATCACTGAAAAACCCTTTGAGTTATTCAGCTAGGGAGAGAACAGGTTAAAACTGTTTTGTGTAAGCACCACTATGTCTATCCAAATGAGCAATGATGAGAGGAAAAAGATCATTCAGCTCTTCAGTAATGGTACCAACATTCATACTCTGGCTTCCATCTTCAAAGTCCATTCAAGAATCATCAAGAGAATGGTGAATAAGTTTTAAAAAAGAGGGAACGGTAGAGAGGAAATATTGATCTGGTGGTCACAACAGGAGGGATCATCATTTCAACTAAGAGCTAAAGAGATCAATTCAGTTATGACAGTTCAAAGAGCAATTAAAAAAGACTTAAAAATGAAATTGTACATGAAACATGTGAGGCAACTTGTTACTCCAGGATAGAAAATTAGAAAGTTAGAAAGAGCAAAGATCATCTTGAATAAGTTGAAAAATGATCCTGGAATAATATATATATATATATATATATATATATATATATATATATATATGAACTTTATTTCACTCCTTCATGAGCTTCCAATATTAAGCTATGAATAGGTAATAATGAACATGTCATTTTCATTTATGATCAATTTCATCATGATATTTTTGTTAAAGCTTAGAGAATAATTATACATTCTTATCGCTCAAAGTAGAGCCCAATAGTGTTATAAAAAATCTCAGAGAATTCCAGTAAGAAATCTTTAAGCATTTCTAAGATACAACAGTTCAGAGCTTAATCAAACAATTGGACAATTTTGCAGATACACCTGTTATATATATATATATATATATATATAGATATATATATATATATATATATATATATATATATACACACACATATGGTTTGAATGTTTGGGTGGTATAATGGTAACATGAGAAATCAGTGAGCTGAATTTGAATTACATTCAAGTTCATTACATTCGCTTTCATGCAAATACTATTAGGAAAGGTATGAATCCATCTCTTCTCCCTATATGGGTTAAATAGTAAGGTAGACTTGTCTCTTCAGTTGAAGATGGCAACCAGTCTAGATTTTGGAAAACTCTGAATTCTGTAAATGGACTGTGTTAGGCTGGGAACATGTAGTTATATTAAGGAAAGAAAATCCCAACAGAAAACCAACCCTTTTGTAGCAGTTGGGCATTGATCCATTCACTTCACCCCACTGAGTAACTTCATTATGGGAACCTCACCCAAGTCCTTTTGTGCCACAAGGCACCAGACAAATAGGTATATATAACACATGTACAGTAGATTCTGGTTAAATGGAATATTGGTTGCAAAGAATATCTGTTTATTGAGACCAATTGTGCAAGAATACATTCAGTCCAAATTTATTTAAAAAGAACTGTTTTGTGGTCCTGAAATGTTCCACATAAACAGAATCTATGAAGCATATACAGGGTATGACAGAAATACCTCTCACATAATGGTAAAACATTAGTGGCATTAGTATCTTCATCTAACTAATGTTTACTTTTATGTCGAAAGTATTTGTGGGAGTTATTTCTGTTGCTCCTTATTTATACATATGTGTATGTGTTGAAGTTAATTGAAAAATTCATGAAGTTGAACTTTCAAATAAAACACCTCTCTTATCCATCTATCTATAGGTTTGGTTTGTTTAGTTTTATGGCATATCAACCTTGATGGGTCATTTAATGCTGACAACTTTTTTTTTTTCTGGTAATATTTTTGTTTTGTCAAAAATCTATTTCTGTTAATATTTTTTCCTCAAAAATGTATAGCTAGTAATATTATTTTTCCAAAAATGTATAGCTGGTAATATTATTTTTTCAAAAACATATAGCTGGTAATATATTTTCAAAAACATATTGCTGGTAATATCTTTTCAAAAACATATTGCTGGTAATAGTTTTTTTTCAAAAACATATTGCTGGTAATATTTTTTTTTTCTGCAAAAATTTATTTCTGGTAATAATTTTTTTACAACGTATTTCTGGTATTAAAACCTATTTTTACACTTTTATAATGCCTTTTACCTCAATTTCTGGGTTAACTATTTGCCTATAGCTGGGACCCAAACAGGTGCTACCACCCCGGGTCACGGTGGACCTGGGAACACCAGCAATTAAGAGAAGGTTCCATGCCCCTCAAAGTCTCCTGATCAGCAGCCTTTCTGTTGGACGTAGTTTATTGTCATACCCAGGATGCGGATGTTGTCTCAGTTTCAGGGTTAACTATTTGCCTATAGCTGGGACCCTAACAGGTGCTACCACCCCAGGTTAGGGCAGACCTGGGGACATCAGCAATTAAGAGGTGGTTCCGCGCTCCTCAAAGCCTCCTGATCAGAGGCCTTGCTGTCGGGCGTAGCTTATCGTCATACCCAGGATGCTCTATCTATAGGAGAATCTGATATATCAAATCTATATATCAAATAAATGGTGGGTAACTGAATAACAAAATTGAAAAACATCCTCTGTAATGCATTTTGTCCTTTGAGAAGGCTTCTTCAGACTAAATATTTTTATTAATGGGATTATATATATGCAAGGGGAAGGAACAAAATACAAACATTTTTAGCATTTCTCTTAGTGCATAATTATAACCAACATTTGTTTGTATTTTGTCCCCTACCTACCAATAAAAATATTACTTTAAAATTGTTTAGTTTGAAGTTCTTTTAAAGGATGAAATGCATTACATAGATTTTTTTTCCATTTTGTTATTCAAGTATCTATCAATATATCACAGTCTGTTCATATCTATCTATCGATCTATCACAGTCTGTTCATATATGTCTCTCTCACAATCTATTTATATCAATCTATCTCTATCTATCACTGTTCATATCTATCACAGTCTGTTCATATCTATCAATCTCAGTCTCTTCATACCTATCAATCTATCTATCAGTCTGTTCATATCTATCACAGTCTGTTCATATCTACCTATCTCTGCCCATATCTACCTATCTATCTATCTATCTATCTCTGCCCATATCTATCTATCTCTACCCATATCTATCTATCTATCTATCTATCTATCTCTGCCCATATCTATCTATCTATCTATCTATCTCTGCCCATATCTATCTATCTATCTATCTATCTCTGCCCATATCTATCTATCTATCTATCTATCTATCTATCTATCTATCTACCTATCCGTGTGTATGTGTGTGTGTGCACATGTATAAGAGCTTTTTTTGTTTTTATTTGTAATTGAGATTGCCCCAAGCAAGGCAGTAAAGCCACTAAGACACAAGGAGTTACTGGGTGTGAAAGAATTAGAAAACAGAAAAATTACTAAGGAGCGAGAATAAAGGAAGAGTAATCATAAGGGCTGTAGATAGTGATTAAATTCTTGAAGATTGAAGTTAAGAAGTGCAAGAAAAAAACTGTTAGCATAGAACTTATGGTTACATTAACCAATTCAACTATATATCAGTGAGACCTCTTTGTCAATCTAGTACTGCATGTAAATTTATAAAATCCTGCTACCACAGTGAAGAGCTCATCCAATTGTTGCCATGAAAGCTTTTACAGAAAAAGTATAGGGAGGCAACTTTATAGTGATGGGAAAGTGACCAACTTTCTTAGCAGCTGACCACACAATAGATTCAGTATAGTCTTTCCACTTCTTGTCAGCCAAGAACATTAGCCCAAGGTGCAATGAGTCACTCACGTGGAGGTTAGCATCAGCCATGCTGATGGAAGGCAGAAAGGGGTCTCTCAGATAATAGAGAACAGTTTAGTTTTGGTGGTGTTAAAATTAACAAGCCATCCTTTGCCCCGGTTAACAACAGACTGAAGGTTTTTTTTACATCAGCCGCCAATTTCACATTATCAGACTGGCCAGGCTCACTATCGAGCAGGAGTAATTTGTTGTGTCATCAGCATAGATAACAAATTGAGAACTGATGCTATCAGGAAGGTCATTAATGAAAATTAAAAACAAAGTAGGACCAAGGATAGAACACTGGAGAACACCTGCATTAGTACAAAAGGATCTAGAAGAGTGGCCATCCAGGATAACTTTCATTTCACAATTTGATAAGAAAGTCTGGACTAGTTCAAAAATTTGTCCAGAGACACCATAACTTTTCAACTTATGAAGAAGTTTTGTATGCCAAACCGTGTGTGTGTGTGTGTGTGTGTGCGTGTGTGTAATTTTCTTGGCACATATATGCACACATTTGAGTTTCCCTAATGTTCAGTAAATAATTTTGTAAAAGTAAAAATAGAATTAGTATTGAATCTTATTTTGGGAAAACTCCTAATAAGCATCAGTAGTAATGATGCCGAAAAGATTACTTGGGCTATAATTTTAAATATTATATATGTTCAGGGAGCGATGGATATATTATTGTCTAAATTATACAAACATGAAAATAACACTGATATCTCATTTTAACAGATATATTTACCAAAATTGCACAAATATATCCTGAAATACTAAAGAATAAATTTATTCAATATAATTGCCATTGGCTTCAACCATGGCCTCCAGACAACTTCAGAATCTACTGCAAATTTTCTGAACAGTCTCCTTGTTTAAGTTGGGAAATACTGCCATAATCCTTGCCTTGAGTTCATTTTTGGTATTACAAGGAGTTTCGTTGGTCTCTCACTCAACTATGCCCCACAAATAATAATCAAAATGTTTGCAGTCTGGGGAGTTAGGTGGCCAGATGTAAGAAGTGATGTGGTTGCAGAAATTGTCTGACAGCCATGACTGGGTTCTCCTGCTTGTGTAGCATGGTGCAGCAGAATCTTGTTGCTAGACATAGGGTCTTCCAGCAGCCACCCTCTTGACCCAGGGCAACACTACTTTCACAAAGTACTTGATGTAGGCCTCAGTTTTGAGTCTGAGGTCCTCGCCAACAAATTCTTGATTCTTTTCTCATCAGAATGATCACAGTGAGTTTTCTGAACTGCTGTACCTACACAATCACCATTAGACTCATCCAACTCTTTTCGAATTCTCTGCAATGTCCTCAGATTGACACCCAAACACTCTGAAATGTTTGTATTGGAGTTTCTGGCATGAATACCAAGTAGTACAGCATGGCGTTTCTAAATACCTAGCAGAAACAATTACATTCATGGTGCTCTTTTCTTACAGATGGTCACCAACTGACCCCACTATACTGTGCAGTCAACAAAATCAAAAACAAACAATACACATGTATGAAATTAAAAATATAAAATGGCAACAATTTACCCATCACACCCTGTACACACGCATATATATATATATATATATATATATATATATATATATATATGAAAGTACTTGATCGTTTGGGGACCTTGTAGCACTTAGTGCACCAGGTCTCTGAATTCGGCCCTTCAAAAAGTGTGGCTGGTCCTGCACAAAACCTTCACCACTATAATCAAATCTCGTGCTGTTGTCAGACTGTCAGTTTCCTGGAAACTGATCTGCATGACCCTCATACGTCGAACTCAACGGGAGAATCGACTATATATATATATATACGTACATGTGAAAGTACTTGATATAATTTTCTGTTGACAATATGAATACAATAGCGTTTTTTAAATTCTTCTAGTTGCTGAGGACAGTTTGTTGTTAATAGTTACTTTGTTTTCAGTAAATTCATTTTGCTCTTGCTTACCTTGAAAAAGTCTATATTGAAATTGAAATGCTAATAATACAATTTTCCTGTTGTCTTTTACCTTTATACATACTGTCTTTTTCTACAGGTTAACTAAGAAATCTTTCATGTATATATATATATATATATATATATATATATATATATATGGAGGATTCTCACGTTGTTTTCAATGTATGGGGGACTAGCAGCTCAGTTCTTAAAACCAATCAGCCAGACTACCTGCATATATCATTTGATTATAGTGGTGAAGGCTTTTGTAGAATCAACCACACTTTTTGGAAGAGCTGAATACAGAGAACTGGTGCACAGTGTGCCACAATATCTCCAAACAACTTTCCTCAGGTTTTGAATTCAGAACTGTCGTTCTCTTAGACCGGTTGCCAGCCAAGGCTATAGGATTCAGTCTGTCCTGCTTACCCATAACTGGGGGAAGAAGAGATGGATTTATACCTTTCTCAAGGGTATTAGCATATAAATGAATGTAATGAACTCAGCTTTTCTATTCCTCAATTCGAGTCTATATATATATATATATATATATATATATATATAAATAAAAAGAAAGAACAGTAAGATATATAATCCGGTGTTCTTATAGATATTTTTATTTTTACAAAATAGTGCTTGATGTAAATTTACAGAGCATTAATATTATAAATTGATTTATTTAAAATATGTTTTTTTTGCTACACAGTTCTAACCATGTTTCAAAAATGGAAGCTAAAAGCTACGAATTTAATTTTGTAATTAAATTAAAGACATTAGTTCCATTTCATCCTCAAGCAAAAATTCGCTATATATAAATATATATATATATATATATATATACGGGCTAGCTACTTCTTTACAAGGGTGACTAGTTACTCACTGTTGCAGATGATATATTTTTGTTTCTTGACAACTTCACAGAAACATTATTATTATTATTTTTCAACACCCACAGGGCCATCCCGTGCTTCACTATACTTAGCAGACCTTAGTTACATTTCCTGAGAGAAAGCACACAATCCTGAGTAAACAGTACTTGAAGAAGCTGAACATTTTCAAATCCTCAGTCATGATGACTTATGAATTTGTACTAGCACAACCATCAATGGCTTCAGAACAGTTTAACCTCCCCAATTTCACTCATACCAAGGCTTCGGTTATACCTTGGTATGGTTTTCAGGCACTTCTGACAGTGTTGTATGCTGCAACCATCTTCACGTGCCTCTGTGTGTGTGTGTGTGTGTGTGTGTTGTGGAGCAGTTATACCTGTGGTGTAGAATCAGTGTGTCGCATTAAAATTCTAAACCAGTTTGTTGTATTCACTTTGGCACAGATGCCCTTAGAAACATCTGAATCTCTCTGTTATCCTCTCATCTAAGGATTAAATAGTAGAGCAGATTGGGCTCTGTAGTTTGGCTATGTGTCAGCCTAGGGCAGTGGTTCCCAAGCATTTTTTTTCTGGGTCACATTTTCAGAAAGAAAATTTGCTCATGCCTCACCAAATTTTCCATGATAAGTACATCTAAAAATATTTTAAAATAAAAAAACAGAATGAGGGTTAAAGGGAGACAACTGCAGCTTCAAAGTCAGAACATTATCATTGATAACTCTCTCCACTAATTTGCTGACCCTAGTTACTATATTCTTAATACTTAATATAATGCAAAAATATCACAATGATAAAATCAATCAATAATTTTATGCAATTACAAGTTATCCATAATAATATTTAAAATTTTGAAATATTTATTTTTGACATGAATTTTTTTAAACTGTTTCTAAATCTTTGATTGTTTTTCAATCATCCCACCTCACCTGCTATCCTGTTCCACTGTTTGGGAACCACTGGCCTAAGGGAAGGATAACTGAATTCAAAACCGTTTCACTGTGGGGCTGGCAACTCCACATTATAAAAAGCCTACTTGCTATGGAAGCAATGCAAGTGTGGTGAGCCTGTGGTCTAATACTCCACAAGGGAGCCTACTTGCATTGAGGAGTGTGTAGAGTGCACAAAGTATGCACGTCTGTGTATGTGTGTGCTTTATTTTGAATGGGACTCATTAAAATTTTCCCAAAATAAGGATTTTCTTATCATCCATGACACTCCCAAGGTTGAAATTTTGAAATTCAGCTGATAGAATATTTCCCCAGAAAACTTCGCGATTTCAGCAGATTTTTAAGTTTTTACGTATAAGTAAATAACAAGGTTTCGCACTGCCTTATTAAAAACATTTGCCAGCATATTGTTGTCTTTCTAGAGTTGAAGAAAAAATTTACTTATTTCTCAAAATAATAGGAAAGTGCATTTTATTTAATTTAAAAACAACGTAAAAATAGGAATTTTAGAGACGCAACCGGAAACAGTTTTTATTCCACTTACCTTCTGTACAGATTACGACAAAATGGTCACGTGAACAAACACGTTTTTTCGCACCTCATCAGAAGATAGCAAGATCAAATAAAGTCGGTATTATTACGACAATTGTCTATTTATTTATTTATTTTTTACTTTAATAAATAAAATCAGTATTATTTTATTACCGGTGCGAGAACTCAGGTAGGTTTTG